CTTTCTGCTTACTACGCCTACCTAGATCTAGTTTTCAGAAATTGGACGTCAAAGATTGTGAGTTTCCCAACATGTCAAGCTTTTTCAAATGCAAATCTTTGAATATCTTGACAACTTTTGGGAATAATCTGACGATTTTGATAGAACAGATAGAACATTTGATTTCTGACCCCATGGTCTTATATAGTAACTCAAAACATCAGCTTTGGTGGGGCTGTAGCCTCGGAGAGGGATATGTACAGCCTTTTCACAGACTTGATGCGTGGGTGGTTGGCGGGTGCTCTGGTGTGGTGAAGATACTCTCTTATTACACCTCTATTTTTCGGCACTTGTGTGACCTTATTGTGTTGCAAGTGCCGTAAAACTCTTACAAAAACTAAACGGAGCAGTGAAGCTGTTTGCCCTTGTCTCCTGTAGCCTAGCCAGCAGTCAGCACATGATGCAAGGCTGCCAGTAGCACAGTGTAGTAGTCAGTTCTACTTTTTGTACCCTCTATCGTTTCTGTCTATCTTTCTTGTATCTTCCCAGCAATAAATGGATGTTCGTTTGTCAATGTCTGTGTCTCTACTCGGACAAATCTGCTAGTGGCTAGACACAGATGTTTGTGATTTTGAGAAACTGAGACATTGTGTACCGGTGTCTTTTTGGACGTCTAAGACATTTATGCTTTAGGAAACTGAAGACAGATGGATGATGTTTGCTAACTTTAGACACATCTCTGTATCTTTTACTTTTAGGAAACTTAAAACGCTTGTATCGTTAAGGAAACTACGGCATATATACATGTATATGTATGTTTTTGGAGTCTGCTAGACACTTGTATGATTTAGGAAATTAAACTTCAACACTTGCTGTATGATTTTGCTGGTATAAAGTTTGAGGTTCCAAGCCATGTTTCCTACACAAGAGAGGAGTGGATGTTTTGGCGAGTGTTGTAGTAGGCCGTGCATGTCGTGGTACCTGTAGATCTAGTACAAGGAGGAAACCGTGTTTGTTTGTTTGTTTGTTTGTTTGTTTGTTTGTTTGTTTGTTTGTTTGTTTGTTTGTTGGTTTGTTTGTTGCCGTCTCTGTACTTGTGTTCTTTGTCACGTGAGATGTCTGTGTTTTTTTGTCACTTGTTGCTGGCAGTTTTTTTACAAGCTTTTGTTTGTTTGTGTTGACTGGTGGTCAACCTACTGTGTGGCTGGTTGGCGGGTGCTCTGCTGTGGTTTGCTCCTTCTTCCCTATCAAACATATGTCGTCCTTATCTCCCCTTCTTCTTTTCTATGTTTGTT